AACTTCTCCTCAAAGCCATTATGGAAAGGTTACTGTTAAATATGTTTGAGGGGAAGACGCAGGAGCCATGGAATCAGAGAGTAAGATGTTTATTGCGAGATGACAAGCGATTCCAAACGTCCCTGCAACTGTCAGGGTATTTATACTCGAGCCCAAAGCAACTGTCAAAATGACCAGCCAATCAGAGAGCTGGTAACAGGGAACATTTGCATATATAACAGTTTGCAATCAAATTGCCGAGCTCAAACCAACAACATAACTACCAACCTGAGCTACAATATTCAAAGACATTTCAATGGTCCTATCTATCCGAAATGTTTGGGAAATGGGCAGCTGCTATTAAACAAGAGTTATGCTGAGCAGTTCACATAGCAGCCTGGAGATGAAGAATAAGCAAGGAAAAAAGAAAATAAACTAAACAATTTGAAATGTAAATGAGGGACCTGAAAAGATTCAACAATGAACATTTAAAGTTACCACCCTAGTTCTTAAAATCACTTACTGATTTGATATCCTTCAATCTGTTGTATTCGTCAGCTGCAGCCTATGGGAGGGGAAAGACCCAGTGTCAAATTAGACAATCGTAGTAATTCATGACTTCCCAATTCTTTTTCTTCATTACCCAAACAGCTTATCAAACAATCCTGTTTATCACTAATAAGAAAATACTTCTTTAAATTGAATAAGGGGTTTGTTTGTCATTAGCCAAAGAAAAAACACTTTTATCTAATTTCAGGTAGTTTACCCACCGAGTTGAAACCTAATACATTTAAAGGCAAATTACTGGTAACTCTTTACATTTAAAATATTTGAAATATGTACAAATACGTTAAAACATGCAGAACTCTTTAAAGAAATCATGCCTTTTTTTGCAAGCCTAGCTTTCTTGCTGAAGAAATCACTTTCAGCTGGTTGAAACTGCTGAAGGCCCTAGGCCAGTACCTCAAGCTTGACCCAGTGCTTCTGCCTACTGCTATACTGTGTGCTTACACTGTACTTGGAGCATTTGGCCACTTAACAACCCATGCAATTGCTTAACAACCACTACTATGAGTGCTGAAATTGCAGTCAATGATTGAAGGAGTCATGTGGGAATTTCGCTTAACAACTGCAATGACTTACAAATGAAATTCTAGTCTCATTTGTTTGTATGGGGAGGAACACCCAAAAAGATGATTAGCAGAGAAAAACTACACTTTTAAAAGGAGCCCAAAGCATTTTTCTTAACCATTGTTAAATAGAATGGAAAGATGTCTAAACCAAACAAATAGTAAAAAGAGACTTCAATATTCTCAGACTAACCTCAGAATATGAAGTTGATCTTTAAGAAGGTTAAGATTTTAATGTGTCAGGGAGGAAAAATCAATGACTATTGAGACACAAACCTTCCTCACTTTAAAGCTAAACTACTGGATACTTTTTACTTTTTTAATCATCATAGCAAATGGACCTTATTGTCTGAACAAGTTTTAAAAGTTTCCTTAAAATGCCATTTAAATCAGCGAAGCACAGTTTATATCAAATGCTGACAGATTCCAACTCCCATCAGCTTCAATCAGCAATTGCTGGTTGTTCAGAGATTGCTACCCATTCCACTGCTCAAAAAAGAAAGGCTTTCAAACACAGGCAGACTTACTGGTTAGATAAACTCCATTGTTCTGTGAAATTCGTAAACAGAAAAATGCTTGTAAGCCTTTTAAAGTATGAGAAGACTAATTTCTAGGAAACAAAATTATAGTGATTATAAATGATAATGTGTTTTTTCTCTGATGATTCCCTAAATGATTTTTTTCATCTTAATTCCTCGGTATCCGAAAAACTTTGGAAAACAAAATAATTTAATAGTCTTTAACTCTATTATTGATTTTGCAAAAGTATATATTGCTTCATGTTTTAGAACATTTCAAAAAACAAAAATAGGAAACTGTGAAGCAATCCTGGTCATGTTAAATGAGTCTGAAGGTGATTCACTCAGTGAGACATCTGAAAAAGGTTTGGGTAATTATTGCAAATTACTTCAACCTATTTTCTGGACATGACCTGAATAAAAAGCAGTTGCAACATCTTTAAGTCTAGGATTAACTCTACAGCTAACTTTTTGGATAACTTTAGGACCAACATGAACTACAAACATAATAATCTTTTTCATATAATTTAAACTGGAAAATACATAAATTATCTGTTTACATCAGTTTAAATAGAGAGGCTACCTTATATTCTTCACTGCCTTCAATGTAGTCATCCAGGTCTTTGTCAAGACGAGAGAGTTCTTTACTGATCTCATCGAGTTCTGCTTGCAATTGTTTGTATTCTTGTAATCCTGCATCAAAATCTCGCTTGTACGCTTGTCTTTGCTGGTCTGATGATATAGATGGATACTCTCTAGATGACAAGTAATTTAAAATGGATTTTGTAAAATGATGTGGATCCATAACTGGTCAGATTATACTCAAAATAAACCAATTTATGTTTGCAAAAAAAAAGTATATAACATAGGAGTTAAATTCACCTTTCATCTTTGCTCAATATATGTATAACACAATTAATTGAATACTCTTTTCTATTAGTACTCACAAGTACAAACATGGAGTTTTATAATAACCATTTGCAATTCCACATATTATAATGGAGGCAAAGCTTCTATTAGCTGGAGAGCTACACTGAAATTATGCAAAATGTTATCTAAACAAAAAATATATGGGGTTTTAAAGGAAGAAATTTGTATTTGTTCTTAAAATACTCCAAATTTGCCCCAGATTCCACCAATTCTTCAAATGTACTTTACAGACTATATTTTTTGCATCCTTTTTTCAATGTACTATACACAATGAGTAGCATAGTGACCAAACAGCAAAATATAATGATTAATTTGATTTTCTACAGGAAATTCTCACCTTGGCATAGACATTTGTGGTAGAAAATGATTTCTACAAAATAAAGCAACATTTTATACTCAGATTGCACTCTTTCTTAAGCCAACCCAGCAAACCTATTTTTAAAAATGTTGACATGTGGGCTAGTTAATGCTGATGAAATAGTTAAGGTTTCCTTAAGTTTCTATTTTTATAGAAACATTTGTGTGGAATATATTTTTAAAATGTATGGAAAGAAAATGAACTAGATAAATAGTATGAATGAACATACTGTTTCAGGTTACTGCAAAACTGAACAAATATTAAAATGTGAACAGATATATTTCTAAAATGTAGAGCAGTTATGGCTTTCCTTTAAAAAACCCTGATGTTATTATATTTTGGCTTAAACAATTTGGTCCACTTCTTTTATTTATTTACTATATTCATGAACTAAACACTCCCAGTTAACCCAGACTGATTTCTCATAAAACTCAACCAGAAACAAACTCCAGACATAATCTGTCAAACATCATTTAAAAAAAATATATAGTAAAAAAGAAAAATCACCTAACTATAATAATTATAAAGACATAGTATAATAGATTTTTTTAAAATGCAGATTCTGTGGTTGAATTTTTAAAGTTTAATTTTAAAAAAAGTGCCGAAGGGGCAGACTGAAACATCAAGGGAGGGAATCATCATCAAAATCCTCAACATAATGTTATAATGAGATATTGACACATACAAGTAGCATCTCAAGGTAAAGTTGATGGTCTTATATGCACTTCAGTATATAATATTTGGCTGCATTTCTCTTCACTGTTTTACATTTAAACACAAATAATTATAGGTTGATGTTGTGACTCAGCAGCAGTCTTCTGTGAGTCTTTTCGGGATGCAAGATTAACTATGCAGCTGGGGCTTGTTAGGGGCATCTTCTGGGGATAAAAGGACAGATGGTGCCACGCCCTGGTTGCAGGAGTCAACGTTCATTCGTTCATTCATGCATTCATTGATCATCGGTCGTGGTTCATTTGGGATACACTTGGAGAAGTGATTGGTTTTCTGTAACCCTGATTCAAGGATACACTTGGAGAAGTGCATTGCCGTAAGAAATATTTGTTTTGCATTCCATTATCTTCAGGCAAAGACTTTATTTATGATTATTTTTGGGCTCGCAGCCAGTCTGAGCCGAGAACTGATAAAGAAGAGTTCCTTTTAAGTTTGTTTGTTTGCCTGTCGTCTGTTAATGAGCGGAGAAGGGGGAACAGAACAGGTTGATATCAAATGACACTATGTCAGGGAAATACTTTAAATGCTGACCAGCTGCTACAATGATATAAGGCAGGGAATGAGTCAACAAGGTTTTTGGGCTGATACGACTTTGAGGCTGTATATCTAAGAGAGGTCCTGTGAGGGTGTCATTTTTGTCAAAATATTAGCTGATGCTTCCTAATGTGAGACTGAGCCCCGATTTGTATTCTTTCCTCTTTCCATAGTATATAAACATCTCCCAGAGTTGCTGGGAAACAGGCAGCATATACCTTTAAATCAACATCATCATCAACTGATACAGTTATAAATATTGCTAGAACTAAAATGTTCTAGTGTCCTATAGACTTCACTGGCTAGTAGTGCTATAACAACAGCCAAATAGGTGGAGTAGCCAATACCTGTCCCAGTTCTCATCCAGTTCATCACAAGATTCGCCACCTGTAGTATAATCAGCATCATAATTATCATTGTTGGCTCTTCTTGTTCTTCCTCTTTTCTTTTTCTGTTGGGACTCCTTAGCAGACCCATTGTTCCTGCTGGGGTTCACATACTGGGACTGTTTTAGGTCTTTTGTTAAGGGAACCACAACTTCAGGTACCCTGTTAAAAAGTAAAGGTAATTAGTTCTCAGGTTCATGCCCAAAACATCAACAATAGAGGGGGCTAATTGGATTATGCAGAGGGAAATGATATAAAATAACTATGTTACATGGATTTACAGATGGACATAAAAATTTTCAATGGCAAATGGCGTAATGTGAATTACGCATTACACCATTTGGATTTGTAATTGGCTGACCAACCGCACTCAATGTGTAATCCTCAATGGAACTACCATCTACATAGAGGGAAGAATGCAGTGGAGTACCCCAAGGCTCTGTTTTAGGCCCAGTATTCTTCAACATCTTCATCAATGACTTGGATGAGGGAATAAATGGAGAACTCATCAAATTTGCAGATGACACCAAGCTGGCAGGAATAGCCAACACTCCAGAAGACAGGCTTAAGATACAGAAGGATCTTGACAAACTTGAACATTGGGCACTATCTAATAAAATGAAATTCAATGGTTGAAAAGAGTAAGGTTCTACATTTAGGCAAGAAAAACGAAATGCACAGGTACAGTATAGGTGGTACCTTGCTCAATTGTGAAAGGGATCTTGGAGTCCTAGC